CTGGGAGGTAGCTGAGACCATAAAAGCCTAAGGTGCTAGAGGAGCGTGCTGTTAGGAGAGTAGAGGTCTGATGTTGCACGGGACAGGCTGGGCGTCAGTTGTCTGTTCTCCTCAGGATAGGCCCTGTCTCTTTAGTACTGGGTGGTGTCTGCCAAGAGTTGCTGGGTTGGTGTGGAAGGTGGGGAAGAGCTGGGCAGCTTTTCATGAGAACCTCTGCTTCCTTCCCCGGTGCCAGAGGGAAGTCTCAAGTTGCCCTGAAGATCATTCGCAACGTGGGCAAGTACCGGGAGGCTGCCCGACTAGAAATCAATGTTCTCAAAAAAATCAAGGAAAAGGACAAAGAGAACAAGTTGTGAGTGTCAGCAAGGAGTGAGGAAAGCATCCTCTCTAACCCTAATTCCCTGGACCCTTCTGGGGCTGAGCAATAGTATCCTCTCACTTGGTTGGCATCATAACTTCTCTGTGCATTCAGAACTAGGGGAGTTGGGTAAGTGATTCTTGCTGGAAGGAGCCTTTGGATTCCAGCCCAGGTGTTACCACAAAGAGTTCTGAAGCAGGCCTCTCAGCCCTGCATTTGTGGGCCTTACTGAGCATTAGACAAGATATAAGCTGGAAGCTGGGGCTCACATAATCAGACACCCAAAGGAGAGCCACCTTTGGCAAACAGACTCAGGAATTTCCATTGAGAGAGTTGAAAAAGGCACTGCTAGTCCTGTGGAGTATCCTGGCATCATTCTTTCTTGGAGATGCAGGGATTATGCCCAATATCTTATGTAGGTAGGCAGGAGACCTCAAATCAAAATGTCCCCCTAGCCCATCCCCCTCATAGCATTAAGTTTAGTTCTTGCTCAGAGCTGATCTGGGTGATGGCTGGTGGGAGATGTACTCTTCCTGTTAACTGGTTCTCTTTGTGTATCTGCACAGTGGCCTGGGAGGGAGTGGGGACTGACTTCATCTGAGGGAAGGGGTGGGGCAGCCAGCCCCCTCAGCACAGAGCCTGAGCCCCATCCATCTTTCTCCCCTAGCTTGTGCGTCTTGATGTCTGACTGGTTTAATTTCCACGGTCACATGTGCATCGCCTTTGAGCTCCTGGGCAAGAACACCTTTGAGTTCCTGAAGGAGAATAATTTCCAGCCTTACCCCCTACCACATGTCCGGCACATGGCCTACCAGCTCTGCCACGCCCTTAGATGTAAGTATCTACACTCAAATGGAGCATGAGGTAGCTACATGCCTGGCAGGAAAATCACCTGGTGGTCTTGCTCTTCCCCATTCACTCGGGCACACTGCTAACCATTCTGCTGAGCCTGGGACATATCAGGGCCCCTTTGACTGAAAGGCATTTAGGTATGAGTCTGTAGGTGGAGAGGTCCTCTAGGGGCCTTTTCAGCCAGTCTCTGCCCACAAACACTCAGGAGGAAAGAAAGAGCTGCTCTAGAATTTTCCTAGCTACCAATCCTGTTCCCACCTTCCTGCAAAGGATGAAAAGGTCCAGGTGACCTGGGAGATCCACCCACAGCTCCTGCCCACATGGACACTACTATTTCCCATCTGCCTAGTTTGTTGACCGCAACCAGCATTGCAGAATTTGTGGTGGTTGGAACAGGACAGGAGGTAGATAGACCTAGAACAGGGACTGTGTAGATGGAGGGGATGGTGAAGAGCACTCCAAGCAAGGCAAGTAGCTCAGTGGTGGCTTGGATCTAGCACATGGTGACACTCTCTCGTGAAAAAGGGCCCGTGTTGGGGAGAGATGGGCCACACTGCTCTGAGGGTCTTGAGTGCCAGATGGGAGCTGGAGTCTGAAGTGCTGGGATAGGGTTTGGTGGGATAGGGATTGGAGGAAAAAGGAAGATTCCCTGCTTAGGGCTAGGGATGAGAAGAGGCAAGGCTGGCTTCATGGATGTTACTGAATTTGGTTTAATACTCTGTTGCCACCAGCTTGACACCTAATTTGTTAATAAAGGGACCTGCATTTTCACGCAGCAGCCTCCGCAAAGGATGTAGCTAGTGCTGGGGAGAGGGAACTACCCCAAGGCTGATGCTGTAGCTTTGGTGAGAGACCAGGCTGAGGAGGACTGGTCCCTGCAGGGAGAGGTGGAAGGAGATGTTTTGAATTGAAAGCCCCCCCGCCCCCATCTTCTCAAGCATTCGAACCCTCCAAGACCCCAAGCACAGAGAATCTTTGAGAGGGAAGCCAGTTTGGAGGCAGAGCTGTGTCTGTTCCCTCAGCCCACTGCTGAGGTAATGGTGTGAGGGTCTCTGGCAGACTGGCTTTGGAGGATGGATCTGGCCTAGAGCTGGCAGGAGCCAGAGAAGCCCAGGTTCTCAGCCCGCTTCCCCCTCTCTCCTGCCTCTCCAGTTCTACATGAGAACCAACTGACCCACACAGACTTGAAGCCAGAGAACATCCTGTTTGTGAATTCTGAGTTTGAAACGCTCTACAATGAGCACAAGGTATTGATCGGGAGAGGGTGAGGCCCCACTGCAGAGCGAGGTTACCCCTTAGGACAGAGTTCTGATCTGGCTCTCCTTCCTTGCCTCTCAGAGCTGTGAGGAGAAGTCAGTGAAGAACACCAGCATCCGAGTTGCTGACTTCGGCAGTGCTACCTTTGACCATGAGCATCACACAACCATTGTGGCCACTCGTCATTACCGCCCACCTGAGGTGATCCTTGGTGAGTGGCTATACAGCCCCCAACCCAGATAAAATGGGCTCTTGCTAGGAGGGAATGAACAGAGGCAACGGTGTGCCTGCCTGCCTGCCGCCCACTGGCAAGCAGCCACTATGGTTGTCAACTTGGCCTGGCAGAGAAAGGGACCTGTACTGGGGTTTGGGCAAGAGTCCTGTCAACCAGTGTGGCAGCTGCCTTGTGACCTCTAGGGTGAGAGCACAGAGCCTCATAGCTTCTCCATTTTGGCTTTCAGAGCTGGGCTGGGCACAGCCCTGTGACGTCTGGAGCATTGGCTGCATTCTCTTCGAGTACTACCGGGGCTTCACACTTTTCCAGGTAAGGCCCCTCCCACACTGCCCTGCTACCCTGGGTGCTCATACTTTAGCAGGCCACAGGGGCCTGGTGTGGGAAGACCATCCGAGACCCACCAGGATTGAGAGTCATAGATGCTCAGAGAAAGGAAGAGGTCAGGATAGCTGAAGCACTCAGGGAGTCTTAAGCTCAGCCATCAAGGATGAAGGGTAGGGGCTCAAAGAGTGAATATTTGAGGCATGAGGCACAGCATAAGTGAGGGTGTGGAGATGGGCTGGGGCAGTTTGCGTTCTTGGGAGAGAGCGAGAAACATGGCCTTATCTTTGGCAAATGGTAGCAGGCTGCTGCAAGGCCACAGAAACTGGGAAGGCACTTTTTTGTCTCTTGTCCTCCCTGAGGGGCTGAGGCTTGTACTGAACCCTGCTTGCTCTATCCCTGACCCTCCATAGACCCACGAAAACCGAGAGCATTTGGTGATGATGGAGAAGATCTTAGGGCCCATCCCATCACACATGATCCACCGTACCAGGTAAGGACCCCTGGCCCATAGATCTTTCCCATCTTGCTTGTGGGTCAAAAAGCTACTGCACAGTCTTTGCAGAAGATGCTGTGGCTCACCCAGGCTCATAGCTTTCCCTGTATGCTCCTCCGAGTGACCTGACAAACCTGCTGCCCTGCTAGGTCAGACCAGGACTCCTCACACACCCACACCCACAAACGATTCCCTCTGTTCCTTCCCTTTCAGGAAGCAGAAATATTTTTACAAAGGGGGCCTGGTTTGGGATGAGAACAGCTCTGATGGCCGGTATGTGAAGGAGAACTGCAAACCTCTGAAGGTCAGTTTCTGGCTTCCCCCAGCTCAACTCATGCCAAGGCACTGGGCACACATATAGCAGAGAGACAGGCCAGGCAGCTAAAGGCTGCCCCTTTGCCTGGCACAATGAGAGGCTGCTGGGTGGTGGCAATGGGGCTTCTTTCAAATTGCTCCAGAGGGGTTCTTAGCCTACCCCTTCCCAACAGGGTGGCTATGAATGTAATTGGGGAACACCAGAAGAGCCAAGTATCAGAGACCGTGCTACTTCCAGCCCCCCTCTTCTCTCAATTTTGGGAAGAGCTAGGCAGGACTGAGGTGAGGGGGAGGGAAGACTAGACATGACCAGGAAGCCTGTCAACTGCATTTGGTGCATTGACAGGTGATTTCTACCTACCTGTCAGGACTTTGCATGTGTGGGCAGAGGCACCAAACCAGCAAAACAGCCTGACAAGTTCAGAGCAAAATGCTTTAACAGGCATAAAAGAATGGAGCCACTCACTGTCCAAGAGGGCAGTCAGTCCTCCAGGAGGCATCAGTGCCTCAACTCATGCAGCAAGGCTTGCCACGCCCCTGCCATCACACTGAGATACCTTATGTCCCTGAGCAGAGTTACATGCTCCAAGACTCCCTGGAGCACGTGCAGCTGTTTGACCTGATGAGGAGGATGTTAGAGTTTGACCCTGCCCAGCGCATCACACTGGCGGAGGCCCTGCTGCACCCCTTCTTTGCTGGCCTCACCCCTGAGGAGCGGTCCTTCCACACCAGCCACAACCCCAGCTTATGACTGGCACAGGCCACTACATGAGGAGATGGAACTGGGCTGCCTGGCCCTCTTTCTCCAACTTCTAACCACCGGGCCCCAGGGCCAGAGCCACCCAATGAACAGTGCAATGTGAAGGAAGGCAGGTGCCTGCAAGGGCGGAGACATGCCCAGCTGCCAGAAAGCACAGATTTGACCCAAGCTATTTATATGTTGTAAAGTTATAATAAAGTGTTTCTTACTGTTTGTAACCCCTGGTACCAGTGCGTCGTCTCCAGGCTCCTTGCCTTCTCCCTTCCCCATCTTATTAATAAAGTCTTTCTTAGCAGTTCAGCTTGTGGAGAGCTAAGTATGAACTGGGCCAGGCACAGGACCAACCAGTGAAAAGACCAGAAGCTGGGGTGTTCCTTTGGGCCCAAAGGGGCAATTTTAGCCTTTAGCCTGCTGCACATAGGTCCTGCCTTGCACCTGTTTCCCACTGGCCTTTATATAAAGGACTTTACTGGGAAAGACCTGCTGTAATTCACCAGGGGGCATCTAGTTTTACTGGCTGTATGTGCCCCAAAACTATGGCTTATGAAGGCTGTCAAGCATGGGACAAAGCGGGCTCCTAGGGCTTCGGTGGCAGTACCTCCCTGCAGCCTATAGAGCAGAACTTACCAGAGCACAGGACTGTGTCATTCAGCTTTATTTTAGGGCTGGTTTTTGGTCCCCCAAGAACTACTTGAATGAATCTTGACTACCTGATTGGGGCCCCTTGGGGACTGGGCACTGTGGGCAGGATGCCTCTGACTGGGAAATGCCCAGCTGAGGGCACAGTGCCAACAGGGGAGAAAAAAGAGGCTTGACCATAAATTCCCAGTGGCCCCTCAAGGCCATTCCCCCTAGGCCACAGCAATTTACCAGAGCAAGCTCTTTTGGGCCAGGGTTGTCCTAGCTCATTTTCCACTGTACCCAGTCAAGGGACCTAACCACAGTAATAGGCAGCCAGAACTGCTTAGTGATTGCTTACTAAAATGCCTGTAATCCAGCACAGATTGTGGCCCTGTGACTAAAAAGAGGGCCCAATCTTGGGAGCTGCTTGGTCCTGAGAGTGAGCAGAGGCCAAGGGAAGATACACAGCACAGGGCTGACAATCTGTCCTCCCACTGCTGGAAACAATTGAACATTTGTGGAAGGATGGGAGGAAGAGGGACCAGCCCTCTCTGCCCTGCCTCATTTGTTCCTGGCTATGCTCCTATAGGAAAGTGATAAGCAGCCTGAAACCAGTGCCTGCCTGTGTCCATGATCCTTGGTGAGCTTTCCCACTCACCCCTTTAATCAGACTGGGTAGGCACAAAACATAAGGCAGTCTGAAGCCCTGAGAAAGGCATTAAAGCACAAGTCTTTTGCAAGGACTGCTGCCAGGAACTCCAGGGCATGGCTCCTATCAGCCCCCAGGGCCTAGGCAGGCGAAGGTAGGGCAAACATGTCAAACTCAAGGCCAGCAGGCTGCATGCCTCATTTAAGCCATCCGTGAGTTTGATATGCTTGGTAGGGGCTTAGTGCCTTAGGATCTGAGCAACAGTGTGTTTCTATGGCTGAGCCCCATCAGCTAGCTTACCCAGAACTGGCCTCATTTTGGCATCTCAGATAAGGCTCTGGTCCCAAGCCTATTCAGACTGGACAACCAAAAAGGGTTCCAACAAGGGAGGGACATGTGCCCTGCTCTTGGATGATAGCTACAGGGGGAAAAACAGGGCTATGTATATGCTGGCAAAGAGGTGGCCTAGGACAGAAGCACCAGGGAGCCTCTACTGGCTCAGCACCAGGGGCCTTGCCTCAGACTAAGCAGATGCTCACCCTACCCTCCCCCCACAGCTAGAGAGGGTACGGGGTTAGGGAGCACTGCTGGCAAGATGGGCATTGTGGTTCTACAGTAACATAACCTTATATTACCTGCAATGATGCCACCCTTTTCCTTGCCTCTCAGAGTGGTTTAGAAAGGAGGAAGGACCCTTGGGGGAAAATCCCAGCATAAAACTTTATCAGCTAAGGAGAAAGGGTAAAAAGCCCTCAAATCTACTTGTGGGGTTTAGGGGAGGCCTCACAGCCCTCAAAACGAATGGGGAGTGCAACTCTGTCCTTTAGTGGATAGCTGCAGTGCAGTCAGCTGTACATGATCAGAGAGGAGACAAAGCCACCAGCTCTGAAATAGAGGAAGTACAGGCCCCCAAACAGGACCTACCCAACCCTGCAAGTCGTTCTCCCAGGCCCAGTGGCTGTAAACCTGAAACACAGTTTGTAAGCTGCCTATGGTCTGTAAACAAAGCCCGACCTGGCCATGCAGGGGACCGAGTGTAGAAATGCCTGGAGCCATTGCACACTCAGCCTGCCACCTGACTCACACACCCAGTGGGAAAGCCTTTCCTGGCGAAGGGCAGGTGACAGGTCAGCTTTAAATACATGTTCTCAAAAGAAAAAATATATATGATTTGTCCTCTCACAGAAGAAACAAACCCAAAAGAGAAAATTTTAACAATAAGGTCCATGAAGCTTCACATCCTCTTAAGGCATTCGTTGTCTAGTTCAATGTCAGGAGCAGCAGGGGACTACTGGGTCCAGCCTGTCCAGAGTCCTTCTAGGCAGAGTGTAGTGGGATTACAAACTTGCAGCCAAAGGGTGAGTGGTAGTTGATCCCCACCTCCTGGAATACCTGCTGGGGAATGCCAATGTCGCACAAATAGACGCGTCCCGCATGCTCTCCTAGTGGGAGAGGCAGGCCCAGAGCCAGTGACCACTTGGCATCAATGCCCTGTTCGACTTCATGCACTGGAGGATCTATGCTGAGTACTGGTGCCCGGTTCTGGTTGGCCCAAGCCACAGCTGCCTTGTACCAGGGCTGATCCCGCAAGAAGGCGTTCTCAGGACAATCCAGACAGTTGATCACCAGGTCCACGGGACTAGTGGGCAGATCTGCAGGTGGAAAAAAATACCATCTGAAAATCCCTCTAAGCCAGCGGTTCTCAACCTGTGGGTCGCGACCCCTTTGGCAGTCGAACGACCCTTTCACAGGGGTCACCTAAGACCATCATTACGATTCATAACAGTAGCAACATTACAGTTATGAAGTAGCAACGAAAATAATTTTATGGTTGGGTCACAACATGAGGAACTGTATTTAAAGGGCCAGAAGGTTGAGAACCACTGCTCTAAGCAGAGAACCTAGGTTGGGAGTAGAATCCAGGTGGCCCTTCAAGTGTCTTGTTCAGACACTACTTCAATGCCTCTCCATAGGCCAACCTTCTAAGGCTGGGCCAGGCCTGAGGTCCGGCAAGTTCCAAGGCTTGGTGGGATGGAAGCTAGAGACCAACAGCATGTCAGCAAGATGGACCACTCTCCTCATGGAACTCACAGGCTGAAGCACAGTTCTGCTGGGTGTGCAGACCTGACTAACTTCCTGGGAATATTATGAGCTCTAGGAAGGTGGGGTCTACTGCCAAGTCAGCACTCACAGGGAGGCCCTGACTGCCATTTGCTGACTGGCCCTAGAAATGAGCAGGCAAGAGCATGCTCACTTACTCTACTCTGGGCTGGCCTACTCACCCTGCTAGAGCCACCTGATCTAGCTAGTCTCTTCACTAGTCTCATGGAAATGGGTCTTCCTTGCAGCCCAACTTAAGAATGGGGAGGGAACCTATCACTTCTCCCAGGCATTTACAAAGGCTTCTCTGCTATAACCAGGCCTCTGGGACAGTATACTAGTAAGAACAGATGTTTTAGTAAGCATGTAACTCTTGACCAAGGTAAGAGGTTAAACTGTGAATAGCAGAAATCAGACCAAACTCAAGGGTTGGCATCCTCAGGCTTGCACAATTGGGACAGCGGTTCTCAACCCGTGGGTTGCGAACAATGAAAATACATCCTGCATATCAGATATTTACATTACGATTTATAACATTAGCGAAATTACAGTTATGCAGTAGCAACAAAAATAATTTTATGGTTGGGGGTCACCACAACATGAGGACCTGTATTAAAGGGTCGCGGCATTAGGAAGGTTGAGAACCACTGCGTTAGGGCAACCAGAGAAAGAACTGCCTGGAATGGGCATCATGTTACAGATTATAAGAAGGGGAACTCATACCAAGCCCCCTTCCCAGCTCTCAGCCTAAAGTAATGACTTTTTATAAAGAGACCTTTGGCTTCCTTACTTAGGACAGGGCACCATAGGTCTGAGTGCCCAGAGGCCTGAAAGTTAAGAAACTGGCTCAAGCTCTGGCCCCAACTTGCCATCTGACCCCTGGCAAAGCCCTTTCTGTGGGCCACATTTGTTCTCTCCACTTTTCCCACTTAAACTCGCTCTGATAAGATTTTACCCCCGCTACTCCACTTGAAACTGCTCTTCCACACTGCTAAATCCAGTGGTCAATTCTCATTCTTTAGACTACCTAGAATATCATACTCACCTCTGTTCACTTGTATTTCAGGTACCAGACTCTCCTAGTTTCCCTTCTCCTTCACTGATCACTCCTTCTCTGGTCTCTAACTCCTTAACTTGTAAACAAAGAAAATAGTCTAACAACTTCTCTATCTACTCTCTCTTCCTAGGAGATACCTTATCCAGACTCATAATGGCTTTAAATACCACATACACACTTATAACTCCAGAGTTGATCCCTTCACTAAACTCCAGACTCTTATTTACATATATAAATTTCCACCAGTTTATCTAGTGGCACCTCTGAGCTTCTGCTCTTCCCCCAAAAACCTCGTCCCTCAAGTCTTCCGATTTCAGTGATGGCACCTCCATCATTCCAGTTACTTAGGCTGAAGACCTTGGAGTCACTCATTTAAAAAAAACAAAACTCTTCATTGTTGAGAGTATTACAGATGTTCCCCTTTCCCTCCCCATCGTCCGCCTCCAACACGATCCAGTCCCGCCCCAGGCCCTCACCACCCTATTTATCGTGTGTGTCCAATATGAATTCTTTGGTTAATCTCTTCCTCCCCTCTCCCCTTAGAGATTCATCAGTGTGTTCCAAGTTTCCATGCCTCTGGTTCCATTTTATTCACTAGTTCATTTTGTTCATTGGATTCCTTGTTCATTTGTTCTGAGTTTTAGATTAAAATTACTGATATATGTTTATTGCCATTTTTTTGTTTGTTTTTAATCCTTTTTTCTTCTTCTTCTTCAAGACCCTTTAACATTTCATGTAATGCTGGTTTGGTGGTGATGAACTCCTGTAAGCCTTTTCTTGTCTGTGAAGCTCTTTATCTTTATCTGACCCTCAATTCTAAATGAAAGCTTTGCTGGGTAATCTTGGTTGTAGGTCCTTGCTATTCATTACC